AGGGTGACAGACGAGCACACATTATACCTGATGGCAAGTGGATACTGCGGCACATAGACCAAAGAGAAAACACAGTAGCATTAAGTTTTTATATTACGCTGGTATTCTGTATGAGCGTGGTCCTTCCCCGGTCGCGCCGACCCATTCGTGCTACAACTATACAATTAATATAGCTGCAGCATGGCTCTACCACGTGTGACCTTATCGAGTAAGAATTCATTCTCGGCTCGTAGTCGTTGGGAAGAAGACACTGAACTCGACGATAGTGATGCGGGTGCTGGCGGGGGCAGCAAGGTTAATCCGGCAGGCTTAGTGCTCCTCTTCTTTTCCTTTTTCTTTTCGGCCTTGCTGGCAGGCGTCCTACAGGCCCCTCCGCCTCCTCTGTGCTCTGCAGACCGTCCCGCAGCAGAACAAAGGCTGCAGTTGAACGCCGCGGTGCACAGGGCCGCCTTGTGGCCAGGCTGGCCGCAGCGATAACAGAGGTCACTACGGTCAACTTCGGCGGTGCACTTCACCCGCACGTGCCCTTTTATCAGGCACCGGAAGCACTGCAAAGCCCGGGTTTGCAGAAGCTTGGTCCTTGCCGCCACCCAGGCTACCAGCAATCTGCCGCTATCAGCGACCTTCTTCGCCGACGCCACAGGGCACCGAACCCAGACCGCGCCGAGTCCGGTGGCGTCGGTGCGTATATCGTCACCTCGCACCTTGTCTTGCGGACACTCTCCGCTTCTGGCAACGGCCGCCACCACCTCCTCAGAGGTCACGGAGTCATCCAGGCCAGCAATCCGCATCTCTGCGGTTTTCATTGGTCTGGAGACCCGGACGTCCTCAGGGTTGAGGACCTCCCTCATCTTGGCGGCCAGTGCGTCCGCCTTTTCGGCACTGCCGCTCACAGTACCAGCCACCTTGAACAACCGCGCACCCGTGGCAGCCTGCCTGAGGGTGACGGACTGAAGGCCAAGATCTGATAATTTGATCTTGGCCTTGGCCTCGGCGATGACCGACTGGTACGTCACGCCACGCTCCACAGCTCCGGGCTGCAATGTAAGCGTCACGGCATTGGACCGCGGAACATGCACAGCCGGTCTTTTGCGACCGCCTTTGGCAGTCCGCCGCGCAGGTGCAGCTGCTACGGCCTTCTTGGCGGCTTTGTGGGCCTTTTTGCAGCCCACGACTTTTGCCCAGGTCTCACCCTTAGACCCAACAGTCGTGGGCTGCTCGCTTGAAGGAGCTCCCTCCGCAGGATTTTTGTTACCCTCCGCGGGCTTCCCCTTTTGAGGTGCAAGTCTCGGCGGCTCCAAAGTTCTCCGTGTGTTTTCCGCAGGATTTCCGCCGGGAGACGCCGTGAAATCGCCTCCAGCCGAGCGTTAACCATGCTCCCGCACTGGAGCATACAGATCCGGACAATGCGCTCGACCTCTTCGTCGGTACGAGGGCTTGCCGGTCGCGGTGCGGGAGTCGGGACCACTACAGGCGCGGCATCGGCGGACGTGCGTCGCTGCTGCTCTTCGCTCAGCGCAGCGATTTGCCGCCGGAGGTCCTCCAAGTCATTTCTGAGGCGGCTGTTTTCCTCTTGTAACTTTGCGACCTCGTCAGAGGCCGTCCTGTTGAGGAGGATGCCAACCGCGTCCCTAATATCCGCGGCAGCCTTCTTTAAGCCACGGGTGACCGTGCCCTTTAGGCTGCCAGACTTGGTGGCAACCTTCAGGACTAAGTCCACCCCATCCAGAGCCAGCTGTCTTAAGGCCACCGCAGATGGCTCTCCCCCTTCCGCCGCAAGAGCAGCTCGTCGCTCGCGAGCACGTCGGGTCATTTCCGACACTTCGCCGGCCGCGACGGCTTTGCGCTGCTCGCTCTTGGCGGCGTTGAGCTCCGCCTTTGACCTCCCCAGCGAGGCACAGCTTTCACCGCCATCGCCAAGGTCCGCCGTAGTGAACCCCATGTCGCTCTCTGCTTCACTAGCCGCCGAAGTATTGGAGCACACGAACCGTCCGTGTTTATCCCTCCGCGGCTGCGAAGCACCCGCCCCTCTCGATGCCTGCCGACCCCTCCCCGAAGTCGGCAACTGGGGAGCCGGCAGGCCTTCCTCTTCTGAAGACCGGCACACTGGACGTTTCCTAGCGGATAACGTCCCACGCGACCGATTTCCACCGCTTCCAGTATATGATCCTGCCTCCTTTTCAACCTCTACGTTTTTAATGTATTTATATTTTTCTATGTATTATCCCACGAGTGTGGAGGAAATAGCAGTCCATCCGAGAAGCGACTCCTGTGCCCGGATAAGCCTATGCGTAACCCGTCAAGGTTGTCGGCCGGTACCCCGACGGGGACAACGCTAACAACTGAACATTTACCCATCAGCCATGCAGCTCCTCACGGCGTGCCACGCTTGAGCTTCGGGTGATTTTTTAAAGAGGTTATCATCCTCGCGACTCCAGGCGGTTAAGCCAAGAGCCCTCGGCCCCTTAGGCGCCGCGAGACGTGATCCACGACACGCCAGAGGGATTCCGAGGTTCGAACGGTGGCAGGGGCGATACGGGTTCTTCCCATGCCTGGCCAGAGACCGGGTGAGGGAACACTGAGCCCATTCGGTTTCCTTTTTTACAGGGTGTGGTCCCTGAAAATCCCGCGATTACGGGTTGCCCGGCGTCGGCAAAAGCCGAGTGCACCTGGCACCTCACCGCGCATGTCACATTCTCTGTTCCTCTCAAACGGAGGGGATACCGGAAGCAACTATTAGGCCCTCCATTATCCAAACAAGACCTCAGCCAGCCAGTTTTGGTTCGCGACGGTTTCCCGCTACCACCCATATCTGAGTGGCATTCCCCTATCCGCCACCTGAGGACGCGCCCGGTGGGAGCTCTGGCAACTCCACACGGGAAGTTGGACCTACCTAGACCATTTGTCCCAGGTAAACCTACTCGTCAACAACTTCGAGCTTAGTGCTCCCAACAACTACCGGAATAGGTGTGACATGGACATTAAACATAATCTTTGTTTTGTCCATGTTCATCTTAAGACCTATCCGTCGGGAGACACTATTGAGGTCATTGAGCATAGTGACTGAGTTCTGTACAATTTGCGAAGGGTATGTATGTGGTCTATGGTGCTAAAGCCTTTCCGGAATCCGGCTTGTTCGAGTGGCTGGAAGTCGTCAAGTCTGCGCGCGAGACGATTCGTGATAACTTTCGAGAACAGCACGTAGACGCGGCTCAGAAGGGAAATCGGTCTGTAGTTCTTCAAGAGAGCGTTGTCGCCTTTCTTGAAGAACAAGACCATTGTACTTCTGCTGGAGAGCCATTCTAATCTCGTTCAGACTGACATCCGGGATATCATCGGAATAATGTCGGATAAGACTCGCTCTTGGATCGTTACTCACACTTGCGTGTGGCTCCAACGATGATGTGTACAGCTGCCCATAGAACCTTTCAATCTCACTCAAAATCTCAGGTGTTCCGGAAATGACGCTGCCACACTCAGTCTTCAGCTTCAACAGTTGGCTCTTTCTGGCTGACAGATCTCTAGCAAAGACTATAGAGTCCTGGTTCCGCTCGATCGCTTATTCAATACGAGCAGAAGCCCCGCCGCATGCATTTGGAGATCTGTCTGTTCAGTTGCCTGTATGCTGTCAAATCTACTGAAGACTGCAGCTTCATATCCCGTCTAACAGACCTGAGATTAAGAGTGTGATCGGAGAATTTTTCTGTTCTTCTGCGGCGGGTCTTGCAAAACTTAGCTCCGACCGCATGGACAGTTTCCACGAGCATGTCATTCATATCGTCCACTGCATTGCAATCTTCTAGGCACTGAAAACGGTTTCGTAGCTTGAGCAGAAAGGTTTCAAGACTTTGGATTAGAGCACGAGGGGGACGGAGCGTTGACTTCATTAGACGTGACCTCTCCAACTTAATGTTTAGGTTCAGTGTGCCTCTAACCATTCGGTGATCGCTACCAGTTTTCATCCTCGCTCTCACGGAGACATCACTGAACAGTTGTCGTTTGGTCGTCATAATGAAGTCAATCTCAGTCGAACCGTCTGGAAGAAAGAGTTCATCATAAAGAGTCCCTCTTTCTCCATGAAGTCGGCCAGCTGCTGGCCCCTTGGGTTCCATTGCCCTATTCCAAATACCCTTACGTTCTCTCGTGTGCCTAGTTTTGCGTTGAAATCTCCCATTAACACCGTATAGTGGGTTTTGGAGGAATGCATGGCTCTAGAGATATCCTCATACATTTCCTCCACCTCCTCATCGGGGTGTGCCGAGGTTGGTGCGTAAACCTGTATGACCTTCAGTGAATACCGTTTGGTGATTCTGAGTATAAGGTACGTAACCCTCGTCGATACACTCCCAATCTTTACAACGTTGTTAACGAGGGACTTGTGGACGATAAAACCGACACCTCCTTGGGACAGATGGTCGCCCTCCCGGTGACAGAACAAGTTGCCGGGTTCGAGGATTACCGTGTCACCGTGGCAACCGCAGTGTTTTTATTGTTGTTTGCTATTATCAGAAAGATGCTGCTGCCCATCCTCTGCCTCAGTTTCCCTCTGTCGCCTCTTACGACACCCACGGGAAGATATGGGGTACTAAAAATAATTTAATTAAAAGAAAACAATCAATTTTTATTTAATTTCTTATGGTAATTTTTACTAGGTACAATTATTGAAGTTACAACAAGAATTTTACATGACAGAAATAATTTCTCCAAAAAATACATCTAACAAAAACTAAAATTTTCGGAATTCTACGGATACGAATTGACGGATTTGGAAAAATTTGAGTTGGTAACACTAACCTAACACTAGATTCTTGTGATTATCGATTTTTCAACATGTCAGTCAAAGTATAGTTAAGTACCTACTGAAAGCTAACCTGTAAAGTTAATGATAAAATGTCTTTTTTAATTTTTTAAGCATGGAAATGTGTAAAACTAAAATATTACTGAAAGCCTATTAATGGTATACGTTTTACAATTATATTTCTCGTGTCGAAGTGTTAAAAATGTTGAGGGCTGTGTCCAGTATTTATATTGAGAGTAAAGCCTTCGCTGTAGTCAGACGTGATGTAATTAAATTATTTCGTAAGTATTATCCAAAATTTTAATGTAATCTATCTCAAACACCATCTGCCCAACTTCCAATTATAAATACAAAAATTATTTCATATACAAAAGGCCGGCCCTTTTGGATCTATATTTAAATTATTTAACTTTCATCATTTTAGTAAAATAATTAAAGTTAAGACAGTTAGCGGCCCCCCACTAAATGCAGTGATGACTTGGTAAGATATGCAGGAAGTCGATGGATGCAGGTGGCTCAGGACTGTTTTGTGTGGCATTTCTTGAGGGTGGCCTACGTTCAGAATGGCTGTGAATGCAGCACAATATTGTGAAGGGCTGTAATGAATGAAGAAATGAAAAGGCACTTAGTGTCAGTGATGGTTGGAGTAAGAGAATTCATCACCCCATTTTATACCATGGGTGTTTTAATTAATTTATTGTGCAATGTATACTAGAGATGGAATGGATATCTGGTTGGTCCTATCTGGTCTATCTTTTCTTTCACCCACACTATTTATAGCCGTCCTTGAATACATATTACAATACCTAGAATGGAAAAACAAAGGTATATGGATACTAAATAAAAGATTAACACATCTACGATTTGCTGATGATATAGCTCTCGTCAGTGAATCTGCGAAAACCTAACATTTTAAATCTTGGACATAATTTGTGTGATGTGGGTGTTAAAAAGTAATTTATGGTCAACTAGATGGTACTTGGTGCATTGCTCTATCACATAAGAAATAATTGTGGAAATATCATTTTAAATTTAGAAAAGTTATAATGTTTAATAAGGAATGATATTACATGCATTGAAGTTGATTTATATATAATTTTCAAATAAATTTGTTGGTATGATATGCATGCCACCTACAGGAAGTTAATTGTATTATGCCTATAACCTTCGTACAAGCTTGCAAGTGCAAGCAATAAGTTGACAAAGTTTTACTGCAATCTGATGAATGGTATGATAGTGCACAAAATACGAACAAACAAATATTAATTTTTATATACTAGACTAAAACTCTTAGGAATCTCTTCTAGGAATAATATTGGTATTTTGTAATGTATTATTTCAATAAGGTATGGAGAATGGCATGTTTTTTTCTTCATAAACCAGATCTGTGTGTGTGCATTTCTCGACATTCAGTGACACTATCTTAGGATACCATATGTCACTGATTGTCGAGAAATGCACACAGATCTTGTTTATGAAGAAAAATACATGCCTTTCCAAATGTGGTAGAGCAATGCTGCAGCTATATTAATTGAATAGTTGTAGCACAAATCGGTTGGCTTGATCAGGGAAGGACCACACTCTCACAAAATTCCAGTGTTAAATAGCAACTTAATGCTGCTGTGTTTCATATGGTGAGTGTAGAGAACCGGACACCCTTTTTACTAGAAGAGAGGTATTCCATCTTAGTCCTCATAGCTGACAATGCATCTGCATTTTGATTTGCAAACGTGGGTAGATGTGGATGTTATGACATATTAAATCTTCCTGCAAGAGTACATAGCTTTGTGAGTTGGTATGGCTCCCATGATTATTTAAGTCATTTTCGAATACGAAAACTTTTGAGTAAAGGAAACTTTTTTTAATCTAACTGCTTATATTGGAGGCAGATTCAGATGATGCTTTAAGGACATGACCCAACAACTATAATTTAAATTAAAATTGTTTTAAATTATAGTTGTTACACAGTTAGCCAATATTTGTTTTTTTTTTCACACCCTGTTGTAAAACACGATTATTGACCATTGAATAGTTTTTGGTTTATGATTGATAATTATATTTTTTGGGCAAGAGGATTTTAGTTATACCTGTTTTATTTATTTAAACTGGATCTAAGAATGTTGATTATGAACAAACAAGGTAATAAAAATGTAGCTGCAGTGCAAAGCAAATTTTATGTTTTTTGATAGTAAGTACTTGAAGGTGATCGGAGATTCAAATTACCTTAAAAAGTATTTCATTGTTTATTAGTAAAACAGGAACTTAATTCTAATGGTATATTAGAAAAAAATTACAAAAAAGAACATGTGTATGTAATAATTGCTGTAACTTGCAGAACATCAATTTTACAAAAAAAGAGATACTCAACTGAAATATAATTTCTTTTTTATAGAATAAAGATGACAAACGAGCACACAATCCACTTGATGGTAAGTGGATGCTGTGGCTCATAGACAGATGCATTGTCACCCGTGAGGACTAAGATGGAATGCCTCATTTCTAGTAAAAAGGGTTTCTGGTTCTCTACAATCACCATACGAAACACAGCAGTGTCAAGCTGCCATTTTACGCTGGTATTCTATGAAAGCATGGTCCTTCTCGGTCGAGCCAACCCATTCGTGCTACAACTGTACAACTAAGATAGCTGCAGCATAGCTCTACCATCTACAAGTAATAATAATATTATTGTATTATGTATAATTAAATTAAATTATATTTCAGGCACTACAGCATACTCGGGAACCACTTCAAACCAGGTACTTTTAGACTATTTATAATGCATATTATAATAAAAAAAAACAATAAATATATATTAATTTTTATAATTTTAATGCAAGCATCCAAGGAAATTTAAAAAGTATAAAACGGTAATACAAAATTAAACACTATTGAATATTCAATAACTGTTTGACAAGTAGTTTGATATTAATGTAAAATTATGTGCTTTACTAGACTGTCTTGGCTGGAGCGAGCCCATCAAAACAAGATCCAGTTCCGCTGCAGTCGACACCGCTACCCACACCCCCATCCCCTCCCTCCCAGCCTCCGCCACGAGGACCGCGACGCGGCTGGTTCACCGCTACCGCCGTCGCTCTTACTGCTTCTGTTGGAGGGGTAATAAAGACAGTATCGTTATTATTTTTATGATAAATTTATGCTCAGGCTATCACAATAAAGTAATAATTTAATGTTTTCCAGACCGCGTTTCGGTCACGGTGACCAGTCTCAATGGAGACTAGCCCGCTGTGGAGAATAGAATAGAATAATGTTTTTATTCAATATACATTACATGCGTAATTCTTATTTAAAGTCATTTTTTACTTTACCACTGGTTCGAAAAAAAACCCTCTGTCCTGGGAAGAACCAGCAAGAAACCCAGCGGGACTTGTTTTAAAATAAATTTTACAATATATATGATTACAAACTATTTACAAAATTTATTTTAGAAACTGCTTGGAAGCGACCACCTCAATAGGTTTATAGTGCCCAAGTGGATGCGCAAGCACAGGTGCACTCACAGGACCACTAGACCAATGACGTAGTCTAAGTGTTCCCCTTAAATTTCACAGTACGTGAGCAAATTTCACAGTACGTGAGCAAATTTCACAGTATGTGAGCAAATTTCACAGGGTTCGATCCCTGCCAGCACAAATGAAATTGTTTGTTACAATATAAATTTAACAGTGTAATGGCAGTGTCAGAATATCTACTACAGCATATCCCATGGGTGAGAGTTGACAGAGGGAAACTGAAACAGGAGAAGGGCAACTGTATCTTCCGGATAACAACTCAAAACAATATAAAACTATGGTTGCCAACCCAACTGCCAAGCATAGCAGCTGTGGCGAAACCCCTATGGAGTAATCTATGGGGGAGGCTTAAGTTCAGTGCTGGACTTTTATAGGCTGTAACGGATGTATGGATGGATTTATTAAAGTGCTGCTTTACCACATTCTTGGGTGTAAAGGATAACATCATGAGAAAACCTGTGTCTTATTTTTTTTTAAAAACGTTAGGATTTTCCCCCACACTAGGATTTTCTCCTGTGTCGTGGAGGCAGTTTACAAACATAAATTGCACAAGGACAAACATCCAGACCCGGAACAATTATTTGTAGGCATTACAAATACTTGTTCCGTGCGGGATTCGAACCCGCGGCCCCCAGCGCAACAACTAATTGCTAAGCCACTGCGACACGGAGCCGTGTCTGGAAGTAAAAAAAATAATCGAAGACGTGTGAAAGTCACATTTGGGCCCGGTAGGTGGTGTTGTTGACGAGATCCAGAAATAAATATTTGGCAGCATTTAAATTATTCTTTATTAATTAATTACAATAAAGAATAATTTAAATGCTGTCATACCGTTCAACAGATTGTGGCAAAACTGCATAAAATACGAACAAATAAAAATTAATTTTTACATATTAGTTTGACGCATCTTGTACATGGCCTTACATTATTTTATCATGGTAGTTCTTAGTAATTACATTATCATGGTAGTTCTACTTTTCTGTCTAGGAATCAGTCTTGGCAGGTGCCATCCTATTACCTATCTCTACCGCCAATATCAGTGCTTACTTGCAGTGAGGCATTCCATCTTAGTCCTCAGAGAAGACACTTTCATTTTGATTCCTATTTAATAAATTTATTATTTAGGTGGGACTTGCCACTTCTACAAGCTTGGGTGCGGGTCCGCACAGCCGTATAACAGTGTACATGTTGTTGTGTGGATCTATTCCACAATTGTTTGAATTTTTCTTTTGATATTATAGTGGTTTTTTTTTACTATCCCTAGATATAATTTAATTTGTTAATAATGAATAATATGGACTCTGCCTGAAATAAATAAATAAATTCTTTGTATCTACAGGTTTATTTTTATCGAAAATTGAACAATAATGAGGAGGAGCAACAATTGAAGTTGGAAAGTGAGTATCCTAAAACCGAATTGTTTTAGATTTATTTTTATAATCATCATCATCATCATCCTCATCCTCATCATTATAGCCTATCAAAAGTCCACTGTTAAAAGTCTCCATCATCGAGAGGATATTTTCTTTAGTTGCCATGTTTAACAGATGGGTTAGCAACTGCGGTTTTTTATTACTTTGGGTTATTATCAGGAAGATGCTGCTGTCTCTGATCTTCTGTTCTATTTCCCTTTGTCTTCATCTGTTTTCTTAGTCCGTCTGAACAGACGGATATGCCAGTGGCAGTACAATTTACATGAAACTGTTCACATTTAGACGGATCCGAGAAAAAAAATATCAGGTTTTATTAAATGGACTTTTTGTCACCGTGAAGAACCGTCTAAACTCTCGGACCGGATATTGTGTGAATGAATCCGCCACAAATACACTCAATGAATGTTGTGTTTTGTACTCTAAATGTCCATTGAAATTAGTCCAAAGAGATTTTCAAAAAATTAGTAATTATGTATTAAAAAATTAGTAAGTAAATTAGTATATATGTATATATATCTATATATATATATATATATATATATATATATATATATATATATATATATATATATATATATCTATATCTATATATAGATATATATATAAACAGGATCGAACTGTATCGATAATATCGCTTGATAAATATCGATATATCGCGATATATCGTCGTGTTTTGCATTATGTAGTAGGATGAGGGCCAAAATTTTATTACTGGACGTTTTGTTGACGAAAAAAAACAGCACATGAATGCTTTTGTTGCTTATTTGCTTTGTCTGATAAATTACTTTGCCTATTACAATATAAAATAAAATGATATATTTTAAAATACATTGAAATGGATACGAATTCAATACTCTAAAATAAATATCGAATATCGACATATAGCGATTAAAAATATCGACGATAAATATCGATATATCGATGTTTTTCACCCATGCCTATTCGGAAGTAGTTAATATCATTGTTTAATCATTTCTTAGTTCACCCATTAATATTTCAAATGTGCCTGCTGAAAACCTTTCTCGTAGAAAAGGATGCACACTGTGTTTTCTTTTACGTCTTCTTCTTCTTAAATAACCACCGGAACTGACAGCACTGGGATAGTTTCGTCGTCGATCGTGTTCGAAGTCTGATCTCAAACTGATCGGTGCAGGTGTGAACACGCACGCCCGGGCGCCGACTTCAATTTTAACAGACGGTCCGTCTTAGTGGGAACAAGTCTTTAGATTATTATTTTCCAAAACATAAAATTAGAATTCTAGCTAATTATCATCATTAGCTATTGAAGTACACTTATAGGTCTTTCCGAAATAGCGCTAACTGACTAGTGATTTTACATCTGGTGTTTAACTCTGCGATAGGCAAGGAAGAGAGTGAGGAGATAGAGGGGACCCCGATCCCGTCTAGTGCGGAGTCACTGCCGAGACATGTGGATTACTTGGTGGTGGGTGGTGGCACGGCGGCCTTCGCGGCTTTACGAGCTATCCGCAGCGTGAAACCAGAAGCGCGGGTGCTGCTGGTGAGCGAGGAGATTGCTCTGCCGTACATGCGGCCCCCGCTCAACAAGGAACTGTGGCGCGAACCTGATTTGGCGACTCGAGCGGCAGACCCCGATACGCTCGTGTTTCACCAGTGGAACGGGAAGCGCAGGAGGTCAGTTATCGTACCACACCCCACATCATGCCATGTTACACCATACCACTTCACACCACACCACACTACAGTCATTTCTTTTATAGATTATAGAAGGGACAAACGAGCATGCGGCTCATCTGATGGTAAGTGACTACCGTCGCCAAGAACAATTGCAATACCAAGGGAATTGTGGATGCGTTGCCGGCCTTTTAAGAAGGTAAAAAGGTCCAGGAGAACAGCCGGTGGTAAATGATTTCAAGAAGAAATCTTGCGAGGAAGCAAACTCCTAGTAAATTGCACAGTGATGGACCGTCACGCATCCAGATGGTGTGGATGGTATTTAGACTTTTGTCGCAATGTGCGTTGGTGTAATTTGGCTGTTGGAATTAATCAAAACAATTCCTCACAGTGTTAGTTAGTTATAGACGTAGTGTTAGTCATAGACGATACGAGCCGTTCTGGGCTGGATGCGATCAAGTGGAAGAAGCTGGCACTTTTTATTATTTATTAATTTATCTTATTTTTTTCATTTTTTTCCTCGGTGCTCTAAAAATGCAGCAGGTCTCGTAACATGGCGTGTCTCTGATTACAGAATATTAAATTATCTACTTTTGTGAAAAAAGTTAACGATTTCTTCCCCATAGAATAGTCAAATATCATGTTAATCTTGTAGGTATAAGTATATAAGTAGGTATTATTTAAATATATGGTAATATAATACTTATACACCTGTTAGCTAGGTTAGTCTCAGTGTATGTGTGTATTATCTATTTATATACGTTATATACCTACGTTAGCACTACTTTCTAACTCGTAATTGTTAATAGATAACTATGAACTAGTATATAACACGTATTTGGAAGATCACACACCGACTTGTCTGTGAAGTCTCAAGGCTCCAACTGAAAACCAGCGTCTTTGCAGCATTATGCTGAGTTGGAGACCTATTTGATTTGATTTGTCACATTTTAATTTTGTTTTTTTTTGTTTGATTCATGATTAATTAATGATGTGACATGCATATTTTTTCCCCTTGCTTTTGTATATTTTTTTAATGTGTGTAAAATGTGTATATCAAATAAATAGTTCTTTCTTTCTTTCTTCTTTCTTTCTGGCACTGAAGTGCTCTGGCTCAGGGATGAGAACAAGTATTCCACATAAGGCCTAATCCGCACCTTGTGCCTTGTTCCGGCATGAAACACTGTCAGATGCTGAGCATGCCAAGCTTTTTAGAGCTTAATTTACCTTCCCTTCCAAGTAACTGCGAAACTGTACGTCGTTCGATATGTCGACTGTACTACTATGTCGATGTAATTGAATTACATCACCCTATTTCGTCTTGTGTGTGTTCTCTGAGGCGGCTAGAGGAAATGCTATTTTTTTATGGTTTTATGACAGGTGTGAGTATCCTTACCGGCGACAGGAAGTAGCGTTAAAGGTGCCAAAAGTCTAAGTCGTGAATTTTCGATTCATTTGCCAAGCGTGCCAATTAAAGCTAATTTAATTAGGGTATGGGCATTGAATGAAACTACTTTTACGGATTTTATCGCGTTTAATTAACTTATTTTATATTCCCGACGTTTCGGTTGCTTTCCAGCAACCGTGGTCACGGGGGACTGAGGTGATTGATGTCCCGATGTCAGAGTTAACCCGGAGTACTTTCAGTTTTTTTAATTAATAATTTTGGTCCGATCTACGCAGAATGAACTAACTGTGTCTTGAAATCTTGCAGTGTTATGCTTGGGTTTAGTTTTAATTTTATGAATTACAGGATCCCAAGCAGGTGGTAGTACCCAGCCTCCCTCTCTATTGATATTAGGATGTTTTTAATTTCAATAGCCTCACGTATCATCCTCGGCAGGAATCGATGTTCTTTCGCGAGAAATTGTGATTTATCATATCTAATGTGATGACGGGGGCCGTCTAGGATATGATCACAAACTGCAGACTTCCCGGAACATTGGTGCTTCACGTCAGCTATGTGTTCTTTTACGAGGGTTCTATGAATGTAGTGATCGCGTAAATATAAGAGATCATTAGAGTATGGGCAGTGTAAGAATTAAATATGTGGGGTAGGGGGTGTATCGAACCTACTCCTATACTCTAACAATTTTTTATAATATAATATTGATTGCTTAGCTTTGAATTTGTGTGGCGTTCCGTAGATTGGCGTACGAGCCCAATTCGTTCTATTTGCCGACGGAGAAGTTGCGAGAGGGATCTCCCGGCGCTGGAGTAGCTCGCGGCTGGACCGTGACCGCGCTGGACGTGGACAAGCACGAAGCCAAGTTGTCAGCAAGAGGCACCACCGCCACACTTACTTACGACAAGTGTCTCATCGCCACTGGTGAGAATCATCAATATGATCCTTTCTTTGTAGGCGTTTACGTATTGAAAGGAGTATATATGCCAAATTTGAAATGAATCGTGTGTATAGTTTTGGAGATCTCGTGACGAGTGAGTGAGTGAGTGAGTGAGTGGTATTTCGCTAATGTGGATACGTGGTGTTCGCGGTGTACAGCAGTGGTTGTGCGCAGGTGCGCGCGCTAAGCGGTGCGCAGCGCTGCGTGCAGCGCGCGGCGCGGGGCTGGCGCTGGCGCTGCGCAGCGCGCGCGATGCTGCGCGCTTGGACGCAGCGCTGCAGCGCTCGCGCGGCAACGTGGTCGTGCTGGGCGGCGGCGCGCACGCCTGTGAGCTGGCCGCATCACTTGCAGAACGCCGTAAGTACGCGACGCGTGTCTTTTAATATTTTAAGACAATCCTTTTATTCTTTTTTTCTTTGGTTGTTGATGCGTTACATTGCGGAGTTTTCTGAGACTTTGACGACAGCTTGACTGCAAGGATAATTGACGACGACAGTATCTCAAGTTCTCGAAGCGCCTAAATGGACATTCTAACTTGAGGTGTATATCCTACTACTACCTACTCAATACCAAGTATCGTACAAAAAGTAGCGATATCGGTTAAAGTGACGTTACCGGTAAAAGGGACTTTTTAAAAGTATAGATACTACTTGATATCGAGTACTTTTTAAATTTTTCCAATGTGTTAAAATAAAAATACCAAATAATTAGTTTTAAGTGTTTTATGACAAACTAGCACAACATAATAAAGAACTAATCCTAACCCTAGTCTTTTCCTGAATAGTTAGATAAAAATAATAATTTGTCAAGTCTCGAACCACTCAGACATTGAAATCTTAATTGAATGTTTTTTGTTCATTGACTGAAATCATATTCATTCTTAAAAATATCGAGTACTGCAAAAAGTATCGATATCCTACTAAATATAGTAATAGAAAATAACGATAATACTCATGTATCAATAATTTTTGCGTTATGTTACCCCTCCGCGCAACACATGCGCCCATATCAAATATTATAAGATTACTTTACATTGTAAGGTCCATCCCATCAACAGCTCAACGCGAACATAATCCGCTGTATACGTTAATGCGCCTTGCAATTTCACAATTTTTACAATCGGAGATTCTTGCGTATTTTCCTACTTTGGTTTGTCAACATTTACTCGTATATATGTGCATAGAGTAAGATTTCTCAATAGACTGTTAAAATTTGTATATAATAAATCCAACTGACCATTGTTGTTGTTGGTTTCTTATTCTGGTCTCTCCAGCTGTCTCCAGCTTTCTTATAACCGAAATGACAAACAAACTTACACTCCACCTGATGATAAGTAACAACTGTAGTCCATAGTCACCTGCGAATCAAGAACGCTGAAATGAGTTGTCATTCTGAGGACTAAGATGAAATGGTCTCCAATTGTTCCGAATGTTTAGTATAGTAAGTGTTACTTAGTAAGTGTTGGTACATACTTACTATATTAAACATTGCAGTATTAAGCTGCTATTTTACGCTGGTATTCTGCGAGAGCTTGTTCGAGCCGACCCATTCTAGCTGCAACCATAATATAGCTGCAGCGTGGCTCTATCACGTATAAAACGTTTCTTCCCTTATAGGTGCTTCGAGTTAAACGGCCTATCTATTGCTACTTTAGTTATTATTGATCCTATAACAGTAGAGTAATAATTCCGCAAAGTGCCAGCCCATTCCCGTTATAGGTTCATAGGGTATGGTTCGTTAGGGTCATAAGGGGGGATATATGGAAAGTTTTACTCAGTGCTCTATTGTTTTTGGCCTTTGCAGTGCGTGACACCGACAAGCGCGTGGTGATGATGTTCCGTGAGGCGACTCCGCTGGCGGACGAGTTACCGGACTACCTGGCGGCACACCTGGCGCGCACGCTCCAGACCCTCGGCGTGGACCTGCTGCCCAACAGTGAGAAACTTGCCCTATTACACACTGCTAACACACTGCCAACCACGCACTGCCTACCACACACTGCCTACTACACACTGCCTACTACACACTGCCTACTACACACTGCCCACTATACACTGTCCACCACATACTGCCTACCACACACTGCCTACTACACACTGCCTACTACACACTACCCACTACACACTGCCAACTACACACGACCCTCTCCACACTGGCCACTACACACGACCCATTTCACACTGCTCACTACGCACTGCCCACTATACACTGTCCACCACATACTGCCTACCACACACTGCCTACTACACACTGCCTACTACACACTACCCACTACACACTGCCAACTACACACGACCCTCTCCACACTGCCCACTACACACGACCCATTTCACACTGCTCACTACGCACTGCCAACTACACCCGACCCACTTCACAATGCCCATTACACAATGCTCACCACACACTGCCCACTACACAATGCCCATTACACTCTGACCATTACACACGACCCACTTCATACTGCTCACTACACACTGCGAACAACACACGACCCACTTCACACTGCTCACTACACACTACGAACTACACACGACCCACTTCACACTTCTCACTACACACTGCTCACTTCACACTTCTCACTACACACTGCTCACTACTCACGACCCACTACACACTGCCCATAACACATAACCACTACACAATGCTCACCATACACTGCCCACTACACAAGGTCCATTACACTCTGACCATTACACACATGTCATGCATAGATAACTCTTTATTGCATTTAAACTTAAAGTTGTTACAATAACGGAACACTTACGAACTACTAACGGTAGCTATATCGCTTTAAGCAATTTCTACCTGAAGACAAACCGAACTTAAAAGACAATTGTAATTTTATATTTTGACGGTATAGGTGCAATATGTATAGATGTATAGATAGGGTTGCCAGCTCCTGGTTCGTGTTTTAGATGATTTGAGGAGCTTAAATTCATAGGATTAAAATGAAGGATATCATATTGTTTTCAATAAAATGCTGTTATGGTATCAGTAGCAACATTTATTAATATGGGATCAATTTTTATACGTGATATAACGTAGTTTGTCTCTCTAAAAGCGCGCGTCACCTGAAAGTGTTTTATGAATTCTTTGATCTTTTGTCCTCTATTAAAGATTTCAAATTAGGGCACAAGATCAATTGTTGAGTCTGAAATAGAGGATATCCTCTAAAATAAACCCCATGTATAGATGCTTTACCAAGCTTAAATGACTTTTAATCTTGTAGTTTATCTATACATATAATAAAAATGTAAATAGCAGATGTCTGTACATTTTATATTTTTGTATTAAAAGTGATTGAGAGGTACTAAAAATAAGTAATTAAATACATTTCTACCATTTTTAGATTTTTCTGTCTGTCTGTCTGTCTTTCTGTCTGTCTGTTTGTTTGTTAACGTATCACGTATAAAGTACTAATTTATATCATAAGAATAGTAAAGGAAATTATTAAGTGTATATTCAGGTTACATTTAGTCTTTATTTCATTAAAATTGGTTAATTCCATCAAAAGTTATGACAAATATTCTGAAGTATGGGTACTAAGTATAGGTACGAATTTGTTCAATAGTGGCGTTGGATGAGTCATCAAGCACATTTTAAAATTAATATCATATTATAAATCATAATTAAATGATGTAAAATAATGTTCTATAATGATATAATTATATCTAAAACGCAGTAAACAAAAGTATTACATAAAGAACGTTATTTATTATATATACAAAATATATTAACCTTATTATCTAAACTAAATTAAAGTACAATAGTTAACCAATTTCATCGATAGATGGTGGTGTGGCACAAATGTGATACAAAAAGGCAGGTTAATTTTTTTTTCCTGTAGATGAGTTTCATATTTGCTTCTAACCTTTAAATTAACGACACGCTGCCCTACTGCGTGTTGACAATCTCATTTATTTTTTATTTTTTCTTTTTTTCAATGAAATCCTTAAGAAAATCATAAAGCGTATTATCAAGTTCATTTAATCTTTGTTTTATTGAAATTGGTTAATTCTATCGAAAGTTATGATTATTATTTTGAAATGTAGGTTCGAATTTGTTTAATGGCGCCACAAAATCTCAGAAATAGTAATAAAAAGATTCGTGTGTAAAAATAACGTTCTATTATAATATATTTCGTATCATTCTATTATAGTACTTAAAACACAGTAAAAATATGTTTTCATTAAATTAAAAAAGGATGTTTTCTCACAGAGAACGTAATAGGTGGCGTTGTACAAATTACAACCTTTTCTGAATTGCGGTGTTAAGATGCATGTGAATCGTATTGAGACTCACTGAAATAAATTATGTCCATGAGTCTGGTGAAGTTGCAAGCCTGTAAGAGCCGTGCAGGCTAACCACATATCATAAAAATCATCAGAAACAAAAACCAGAAAAAAGAGATATTGAAATATTCAATTATTCAACAAAACTCGACTAAAAGTAGCAAAATTGCAATAAATGTCGTGATAGTGAATAGTGGTATTGCTTTATAGCCAGAATCCCTCTAATACCAAATAACTTGCCTTTCAGTTTTAAGTAAAGTAAAGTAAAGTTGCAGCCTATTTACGTCCCACAGCTGGGCACAGGCCTCCTCTCATTTCTGAGAGGGTTTTAGGGCAAGGAAATGTCCACCGCGCTGCCCCAATACGTGTTGGCGAACTTCACATGTCATCGAAATATTTTTTTTTATTTCTCAGACATGCAGGTTTCCTCACGATGTTTTCCTTCACCGCCGAGCACGTGGTAAATCAGCACTTAAAATTGCAATTAACAATTTCATTGGTGCCGGCGGGGATCGAACCCGGGTTGCTCGAGTACTGTGAAGCTTACAGCGAGCGCTAACCATCTGAGCTACCACGGCTCAGGCTTCAGTTTTAAGATAGGGATAATAACATCGATGATGACATCGATGTTGGCATCGATAGCTCAACATCGATGTTCGATGTTTTAGCCTAAACATCGAACATCGATGTTGACCATTATCGATGGTTTTTGTATATGTGTAGATACTTACACATTGTTTCAAAATTATGTGGGTATACCCACATAATTTTGAACAGCAAGGGAAAAGTAACAATTAACTTGAATATCAATTTACGTAGAATAGTTATTACGCGACAACCGACAACGACACTACAAAATAAAGCGAAAGCAGTGACCATTGTGACATTACAGGAGACACTTGACAATTAAGTTTGACTCACCATACTGACATTTTTTTAGGTTAACGATGCGTTCAGAAATTCTGAATTATTCAAAATTTTTAATCTTCAGAGCAGAATGCAAGATTTAGTTGATATTGATTTCGCGAGTTCGCATTGTTTGCAAGTTCCCAATTATCGATTATGGGTTCATTGCCGTCGATGTTTCGATGTTTGACACATGTCAACATCGATGTTAAAACTTCGAAGTTTTAATTTTTAACATCGATGATCATCTAATATCCCTATTTTAAGTGTGTTTCACACTCAGCGTGTGTTATGCGACGATCGTAAATAAAGCGCAAGCTCAAACTTTACGCGTTGCAGGAATGGACCTCAGTACTGATTGTTTTGCACATGGCCAACTCTATGTTTCTTTTTCCCGCGTTAGTAGTCCCCGTAACCTTTTTTCTGTACGCCCCGGTTAAGTCTACTTCTATCGTCGTTTACACAGAAGCTCTATTATAAACGACTTAGAACTTTAAGCATATCGATTTATTTTGTTACCACTTAACGTAATGATATAAATCGTTTAATATTCTCTTACCCTAAACGTCAAATTCTTTAAGTAAAACCTATATTCGCGAGCTACGCAGCGGGCACAGCTAGTATTGAATAAAAATGATTATTTTCTATAGATAAGGTGCGCAAAGTCCTCTGTGGCTGTTTGCTATCATCCTTGCTGCGTTTGCTTATCACTTGACTGAAATAAAAAGCTTGGTTGTATCACGCAGCCGAAGTGACCGACAGCCGTGTGAGCTCGGAACAAGTGTACCTGCAGCTGAGCAAAGTGGGAGGTGAGGAGATCTCTCCGAGGAGTGAGGAAGAGGGCTCAGAGCTGGTGGCTTCGCTGGTGGTGGAGTGCGTGGGAATCGAGCCCAACACTGAGCTGGCAGCGTCTTCTGGCCTCGAGGTGCATCCGGACCTTGGAGGCGTCGTCGTTAACGCAGAGATGCAGGTATGCATTGCCCCCCTCCCCCCTTCACCTCATCATGCCTTTTTTATAGAATACGGGAGATAAGTGAGCACACAGCCGACCTGATGGTAAGTGGATACTGTGGCCCATAGACATCTAAATTTATCCTCGATTAAGAATCCAAATGCAAATGCGTTTTCACCCCAGAGTAATGGCGGATTATAGTAGGCACATGCCTAGGGGCGCGAGGATGTAAAGGGTCGCGATCGAAAATTTTGAAATGAAAACAAAATTAAGTAATTCATATCATACTTTCTATAGAGATGTAGAGCTTCCGAAGCGCACCGCGTCTATTTCATTACTCTTGCCTCGTATCCAGTAAAAAGGATCTCTGGTTCTCTACACACACCATACGAAGCACAGCAGCGTTGAGCTGCTATCCTACGCTGGTATTCTGTAAGAACGTGCTCTTTCCCCAGTCGAGCAGACCCATTCGTGCTACAACCATAATCCAACAGCAGCATGACTCTATCACGTATAAAACTTAACACTCCACTTGCAACTGCGATTATCTTATAGTTAAAAAGTACGCAATATTTTCCGTTTTCATGACTCCTTTTCATTAGCTATGTGATTAAAATTAGGGAAGAAAAGAAAAACATATTTTATCCCATGCAACAAAAGCTTAAAATAGAACATAGTGATGTGAAATGTTAATTAGTTAAGATAAGCATAAAATAATAAAAATGTAGTGTTTTATTTAGTTTGAAGAACACCTCCCGTCCTCGCTCAATAGAGTGCACTATCCTCTTAGTGGTGTTGGGATAAGTGGTGACAGGGATAGTGCACGCAATTCAGGGAGAGTGAGAGGTGTCCTTCAAACTAGGGGTAAGTCACATCATTTTTATTGAGTAATTTTGACATTTATACATGCAGGGTTATTTTGTAATATACGGCCAAATTTGCAGAGAAGGTTCAGAATTAGTAATATAGGCGAATGGTGAGGAAAAATAAAAAAAACTTAAATATTCTGTCCTTTTTATTTTTTAAATTAAGAATACGTGGTGATGCATTATTTTAACTAATTGTTATTCATAAATATGTATTTTACTACTCACGCACACATTCGTAAGGGTTGCTCGGTTACAAAATTTAGGTACCATGTCGCACGTCTTCTCGCGCCCTTCCCTTCCGTTAACCGTTACACCGCTAGGTATCTTATACCTACGTTGACCCGAGTACCCGAGTTGACAGTGTTTACCGTGACCTCATTACGTACAAGTGTGCTACTGCTATTTTTTAATTTTCTTAAGTAGTAGTGTCGCTTCGTTACCAACGAACGAAAATATTTAAACTGCGATGAAATGGTGCGGTATTACATTTTAAGCAATGAAAGTTTACGTGGTGCGCAAAGATTATAAGAAAATGAGTTCAAGAAATTAACGTACTTGTACCTAACAATCGAAGAACAATTGACAGCTAATCAAAGTATTCAAGTGCAGTGAGCGATAATTTTAATAGTTAATATGAAGATGTAAACTCGCCGGAACGTTCACCGTTAGACTTTTTATCTGTGGGGTGAAATAAAGAGTCGTCTCTACGTCAAAGAGACCCAAAGTTATGAAGACTGCCACAGTAAAATTATTGCTGCGTTCACGGAAGTTAAAAAGTACTCAAGCACAGTTAATAAGTGTAAAAAATAATTTAAGAAATCGTGCTCGTGAATGAATACAGAGAAATGGATTCCATTTTTAAGTACCAATATTAGATATTGGGATTACTTGCGTAATTTAGTTGCAAATTGTTTATTCCAATTTTCAAATACGCCATAATAATGACAGTCGTCTGTTAAGTCGTCAAAACTGGTAGCGATCACCGAATGGTTAGAGGCACACTGAACCTAAACGTTCAGTTGGAGAGGTGTCATCTAATGAAGTCAACGCTCCGTCCTCCTCGTGCTCTAATCCAAAGTCCCGAAATCTGTCAGCTCGAGCCACAAAACCGTTTTCAGTGCCTAGAAGATTGCAATGCAGTCTACGATATGAATGACAAGCTTGTGGAAACTATTCATGCGGTCGGAGCTAAGTTTTGTAAGACCCGCCGCAGAAGAACACACAAACTCTACAACCACACTTAATCTCATGGCTGTTAGACGGCAAATGAAACTGAATTCTTCAGTAGATTTGACAGCATACAGGCAACTGAACAGGCAGATCTCCAAATGCATGCGGCGGGACTTACGCAACTTTAATACTGCTCGTATTGAAGAAGCGATTGAGCGGAACCAGAGCTCCAAAATATTTCCTAGAGATCTGTTTGCCAGAAAGAGCCAACTGTCGAAGCTGAAAACCGCATGTGGCAGTATCGTTTCCGGGACACCTGAGATTTTGAGTTAGATTGAGAGGTTCTGTGGGCACATTCACGTTATCTTTGGAGCCACACGCAAGTGTGAGTAACGATTCAAGAGCAAGTCTTATCCCACACTATTCTGATGATATTCCGGATGTCAGTCTGAATGCGATCAGAATGGCTCTCCAGCACCTTAAAAACGGCAAGGCCCCAGGCGAGGATAGAATTACAGCGGAGCTTCTGAAAGCGGGTGGAAAACCGGTACTATAAGTCCTTCAGAAGCTCTTTAATTCCGTCCTCCATGGTGGCACTACTCCGGAGGCGTGGAGCAGAAGTGCGATGGTCTTGTTATTCAAGAAAGGCGACAACGCTCTCTTGAAGAACTACAGACTGATTTCTCTTCTGAGCCGCGTCTACGTGCTGTTTTCGAGAGTCATTATGAATCGTCTCGCACGCAGACGCGACTACTTCCAGCCTCCTGAACAAGCCGGTTTCCGAAGAGGCTTTAGTACTATAGACTACATACACACCCTTCGGCAAATTGTACAGAAGACCGAGGAGTACAATTTACCACTATGTCTTGCGTATGTGGACTTGGAAGACGTTTTCAAGCTACTCGACTGGAAAGGATGCGGTATTGACATCAATGGCGAGTACATCACGCACCTTCGATTTGCCGACGATATAGTCCTTATGGCAGAATCGCTGGAGGACGTAAGCACTATGCTCAATGACCTCAGTAGTGCCTCCCAACAATAGGTCTTAAGATGAAGACAAGACAACGATCATGTATAACGCATTGAGATATGATGTACTACGTACTAGAGAAGCCATTCCGAACAAAAACTGTGCACTACTCGATGTCTTCGCGCATGCGCGGTAAATAGTACAGTCGCGCATGCGCGGTTTTTGTCATCATAGATTATATACGTAGGTAGAATGATCAGTATGTAATAAGTAAATGTTTATTTAGATTGTATTGTAAATTGTATCGAGTACAATTTTTTAAATTGTTATTTATATTGCATAATGTGTTAATATAATGTAACATAATATTATGTCAGAATTACATTTTAATTATATTTTATTTAATACTTTAAATGGTAAATATGTAGAATATAAAAATATGCATTTATTTTCAAAGATCATTATTATTACTTTTCTAGCATTCTCTAACGTATTTATACGCAGATGGTGTACAATAGTGTAAAATCAATGCGAATTTACGTAACGGTGCATGCAGTGTATAATTAATAATGCGTGCTCTGTTTATTCTTTTTCGTTAAAGATTTATGTTACTCCATAACTTCTGCTTTACCCATTAAATCAATCTCAGCATTTAAGTTGAGACCGAATTTATGTTTAAAATTTTCTACAATTGATTTGTAAGAAGCACATTTTTTCTTTAGATAAATATTTTGTCTTAAATTTCTCAGTAAGTTTCTTTCTAGCTGCAGATTCCTTGCTATTAAATACAAACACAATATTACAACGTGCTTATATTTTATTATTTTTATAATAACCTAGAAATATTGATTCCGTTATTAAGGTAGAACTATATTTAAAAGCTTAGGCTTCGTATACATCACTCAAACTTAGCTTAGGAGACATCACTTGCGTAATTTATTTTTAAGTACAATTTTGCTCGGACTATCTAAAATTGAATTTGTACTGCTTATTGATTCAGACAACGGTTCTGATACTTCCTGTTCACCACATTTTGTTGGCTGAAAAAAATATACTAGTTATTTGGGAAGCCTGCAAAAATTGTAGTGTTACAGTATTAAAAAACCGTCATATACTAGAATGACTCGCGCGCCGAGGTTTCCGCCTCTCTTAAGTCCCGTAAATATACTGAATATTACAAAACATTCGTTCGTCGTCTAATCAAAAATAAAACAAAAATCCCAGCAATGTTATATAATTATATAATTACATTGTCGCATGGTACTGCTTATTTCTTGAAGTACACTCTTCCTGTTTTTGCGGTATATTTGTCATTTTTTTTGAACTGTACGGAAAATATGCGTGAATAATCTGACGTTTCTTCGCTGCAATTCTTCTGAACAAATTTGATCCATCATTATTTTGTTTCATGACACAGCCGAGGAAACCATTAAATAAAATAATAATAAAAAATATTAATTTTAATGCATTAACATTTCCTACAGTGATTACATATAAATAATTTACTGTTCATAATTACTTAACATTATACGTCGATAGTGTCAAGTCTGCGCATAAAAATTTTTTACTCTTTGACATTCACGTATACGTTGCAGTTGATAAAATATAATTAAATTAAGCGTGTTTTAAAGATAATAATAAGTTTAAATTACTGGTGAAAATTCACTCCTTGACTTTTCCTTATATTTCTCGAGTAGTTTGAACAGTATCTCAATGCACAAGAAGGCATATTAATTTAAAAATAATTCTTTACTCTAACTTCTCACGTTGTAACAACCGCTTGATACAGACTAAGTGAGTTTGAGAACGCGCACTCTAACGCGTGTTACAAACAATCGATTTGAGGCGTCTTCTCTAGTACGTAGTACATTATATCTCAATGGTATAACGTCCATGCCACCCCTATGCCGGTAGTTGTTGGGAGCACTAAGCTCGAAGTTGTTGACAAGTATGTTTACCCCGGACAAATAGTCCGACTAGGCAAGTTCAACTTTAACCGAGAGGTCAATCGACGGATTCAACTCTGCTGGTCAACGTTCGGGAAATTACGACACATCTTCTCGTCAGGTATACCTCAAAACTTGAAAACGAGACTGTACAACCAGTGCCTCTGGCCAGTGATTACTTATAGAGCTGAGACGTGGTACATCACTGCTGGCCGTATGAGGAAGCTCAAGGTCGCTCAGCGAGTTATGGAGAGGGCTATACTCGGAGGTTTCTCTGCGTGATAAAATTAGAAATGAGGATATCCGCAGCAGAACCAGAGTGACCGGCATAGCCCAACGGATTAGCAAGCTGAAGTGGCAATGGGCCGGCCATATAGCTCGAAAATTTGACAACCGATGGGGAAAAAAGGTTCTCGAGTGACAGCCTCGTACCGGTAGGTGAAGTGTGGGGTGACCCCTCATTAGATGGAGTGTCGACCTGGTAAGACATGCAGGAAGTCGCTAAATTCAGGTGGCTCAGGACCGTGCTTTGTGGCATTCCATAGGGGAGGCCTATGTTCAGCAGTGGACTTGTGAAGGGCTGTAATGAAGATGATGATGCATTAAGCTTTAGGTGTTATTTGTGTGCTATAAGGACATAGCAACTATTTATAAAATTTTTGTCTGTCTGTTTGTTCGGGCTAATCTTCGGAATGGCTGGAGTGATTGTCATGAAACATTATGAACAGATAGAGGGCAGTACTAGAAAGGGTATTTTTAAAAAATAACGAAAAGTTGATACTTGAACGATGATTAATAGATCCTATTCATGTGAAGTCGTGGCATGTCTGTATTTTTAATATCATGAATATCCTTAAAGATATTAACACTGATTAGCTAAGATTCGTGTAATAAAATAAAATGATATGTCTTATCTTATTCCTAACACTGGCCTTGTTTTAGGCGCTTTGTCATTGTTGTTTGAAGTTCATTTCGGATAGGTATGTAACTTTATTTCTTATTTGCCTAAAGGTGCGTACACATTATATAACATAACATATTATAAAACGTTGTTATATAACATCTTTCATTAATGTGAACTCTAAATGTTATAAAACGTGTTATATAACGTGACACAAATGTTATAACTGGAACGGCAGAACAGAGTTTGTGTGTCTGTACGTGTACGTGTGCGTGTTCGTGTACATGTACGTGTATGTATAGGTGTAGGTGTGCGTGTGTGCAGGCTCGCGCCGGCGTGTTCGCGGCGGGCGACGCGGCGTGCTTCCACGAGCCGCTGCTGGGGCGGCGGCGCGTCGCGCGGCACGACCACGCGGTGGCGTCGGGCCGCGTCGCCGGCGCCAACATGGCGGCGCTCGAGCCCCCCCGCCCCTACACCCACCAGCCCATGCTGTGGACCGACGTGGGCCCGCGACTCGGCTACGAGGTACCCGCACACCACACCACACCACACTACACACTATCTATACAACAATACCGACGTAAGCCCGCTACTCGGCTACGAGGTACCCACACACCACACTACACTACACACTATCTATACAGCAATACCGACGTGGGCCCGCGACTCGGCTACGAGGTACCCGCACACCACACCACACCACACTACACACTATCTATACAACAATACCGACGTGAGCCCGCGACTCGGCTACGAGGTACCCACTCACCACACTACACTACACACTATCTGTATAGCAATACTGACGTAAGCCCGCGACTCGGCTACGAGGTACCCGCACACCACACCACACCACACTACACACTATCTATACAACAATACCGACGTGAGCCCGCGACTCGGCTACGAGGTACCCACTCACCACACTACACTACACACTATCTGTATAGCAATACTGACGTGAGCCCGCGACTCGGCTACGAGGTACCCACACACCACACCACACTACACTACACACTATCTATACTACAATACCAACGTGAGCCCGCGACTCGGCTACGAGGTACCCACACACCACACCACACTACACTACACACTACACACTATCTATACTACAATACCAACGTGGGCCCGCGACTCGGCTACGAGGTAACCACACCACACTACACACTATCTATACAGCAATACGGTCGTGAGCCCGCGACTCGATTTCGAGGTACCAACACACCACACCATATTACACTACATACTACACACTATCTATACAACAATACCGACGTTAGCCCGCGACTCGACTACGAGGTACCCACTCACCACACTACACTACACACTATCTATATAGCAATACCGACGTGAGCCCGCGACTCGGCTACGAGGTACCCACACACCACACTACACTACACACTATCTATACAGCAATACCCACGTGAGCCCGCGACTCGGCTACGAGGTACCCACACACCACACCACACTACACTACACACTATCTATATAGCAATACCGACGTGAGCCCGCTACTCGGCTACGAGGTACCCACACACCACACTACACTACACACTATCTATACAGCAATACCCACGTGAGCCCGCGACTCGGCTACAAGGTACCCACACTATACTACACACTATCTATATAGCAATACCGACGTGAGCCCGCTACTCGGCTACGAGGTACCCACACACCACACTACACTACACTACACACTATCTATACAACAATACCGACGTGGGCCCGCGACTCGGCTACGAGGTACCCGCACACCACACCACACTACACACTATCTATACAACAATACCGACGTGGGCCCGCGACACGGCTACGAGGCACCCACTCACCACACTACACTGCACACTACACACTATCTGTATAGCAATACCGACGTGAGCCCGCGACTCGGCTTCGAGGTACCCACACACCACACCACACTACACTACACACTACACACTACACACTATCTATACTACAATACCAACGTGGGCCCGCTACTCGGCTACGAGGTACCCACACACCACACTACACTACACACTATCTATACAGCAATACCCACGTGAGCCCGCGACTCGGCTACAAGGTACCCACACTACACTACACACTATCTATATAGCAATACCGACGTGAGCCCGCTACTCGGCTACGAGGTACCCACACACCACACTACACTACACTACACACTATCTATACAACAATACCGACGTGGGCCCGCGACTCGGCTACGAGGTACCCGCACACCACACCACACCACACTACACACTATCTATACAGCAATACGGACGTGAGCCCGCGACTCGATTTCGAGGTACCAACACACCACACCATATTACACTACATACTACACACTATCTATACAACAATACCGACGTTAGCCCGCGACTCGACTACGAGGTACCCACTCACCACACTACACTACACACTATCTATATAGCAATACCGACGTGAGCCCGCGACTCGGCTTCGAGGTACCCACACACCACACTACACTACACACTATCTATACAGCAATACCCACGTGAGCCCGCGACTCGGCTACGAGGTACCCACACACCACACCACACTACACTACACACTATCTATATAGCAATACCGACGTGAGCTCGCTACTCGGCTACGAGGTACCCACACACCACACTACACTACACACTATCTATACAGCAATACCCACATGAGCCCGCGACTCGGCTACAAGGTACCCATACTACACTACACACTATCTATATAGCAATACCGACGTGAGCCCGCTACTCGGCTACGAGGTACCCACACACCACACTACACTACACACTATCTATACAGCAATACCCACGTGAGCTCGCGACTCGGCTACAAGGTACCCACACTACACTACACACTATCTATATAGCAATACCGACGTGAGCCCGCTACTCGGCTACGAGGTACCCACACACCACACTACACTACACACACCCGTATTCAAGAACGATACTATGCGTACGCACAGTAGGCTTTAACCCACAGTGGACGAAATTTTGTTTCATAAACGTTACTTGAGTGTTGGACGACACTATGCAACTAATTAGGGACACCCTTGGCTAAAGTTACCCATTAGCTACTTTAACGAACGTATAGGGTCGGCGTAAATGTCATATTCATAACCTCAAAATAATAAAGCATAAGTTATTACTTATATATAAACTATACTCCATGATATAAACTTATAAACTATTGTTTGTCTTTTGTGTATTTTAGTACTACCTAGTTAAAATAAAAATGAGTGGTAGTGATGAGGAATTTGATAATTACTTGGACGGACAAGTGAATCGCCAAGAAAGCGTGACAATAAGGCGTGTTATCAGATTTTCAGAACCCTTTCGAATATTATAGTGAAGTGGAATTTAAACAGCGATATAGATTTCGCAAAGAAACAGTATTAAACGTACTTATGCCGCTAATTTCTCACAATCTCGAGAAACTTACAAAAAGAGGACTACCAATTCCCCCAGTGTACCAGTTGCTAATTGCACTCAGATTTTATGCCTCAGCCAGTTTTCAAATTATCAGCGGCGACCTTATTAGTGTTAGCCAACCAACCGTTTCAAGAATCGTCAAAAGAGTGTCCTATTTGATTAGTTTGCAAATAAAACGGTACATAAAATTCCCAGAAAACAGTGAATATACAAAACTAAAATTTTACCAGATTGCGCAGTTTCCTGGAGTAAGAGGATGCATAGATTGCACACATGTTGCTATCCAAAACCCTGGAGGAAATTTTGCTGAAGTTTTCCGTAACAGGAAAAAGTTTTTCTCCATAAATACACAACTTGTGTGCGGCCCTGAATTAGAAATATATGACATTGTAGCTGACAGACCAGGTTCAGTTCATGATAATCGTATATTTCAAGCAAGTACATTAAAAGCAAAGCTGGAAGGAGGAGAAATTGATGGCTTGCTTTTAGGTGACAGTGGTTATGGTTGCCAAACATATTTACTGACACCAGTTCTACGGCCAGAATCAGATGCTGAACAAAATTATAATAAAGCTCACATTAAGACCAGAAATACTGTTGAGAGAACTATAGGTGTTTGGAAAAGAATTTTCCCATGTTTGTCAAAAAAACTAGCGACAAATCTGACAACAACATGCCATGTAGTAGTAGCCACAGCCATTTTGTATAATATTTGTCGTTTGCATAATGAAATTGAGGAGAATATAGAACCACCGGTGATAAGAAGAATTGACAGAAGGAATGCCAATCCATCCAATAGACAGGGATTAGTTTTTAGGAGAATGTTTATTGAACGACATTTTTGAAATGTATTTCTGGTAGTTATTGAAATTATTGTATATTATTGTAATTTAAGTAATTTCATGTAAATAAAACAATTTTTACAGGGACTTTGAATAAATTAATTTTTTTTTCCAATAATGCTATTTCTAACTTAAGTTTCTTGATTTCTAAATTGTTTTTTTCTATTTGAAATGTGGCTTGCTGTGACTCTTTTTCCAATAATATTTCTTCTTTTTTTTATCAATATTTTTTCCCTCTGGACTCTCAATTTATGTAATTCTGAATCCTGCTCTATATTCTCCTTGCACTTGGACTTCACTGGAGAGCTTACCATTGTTATCTGAAATAAAATAAGTATAAATCTACAACATGTATTATTGAGAGGAGTGTTTTGAAGTAGTAGTAGCTGGTAGTAATTAAAGACTTACTAAATGGGCATAATTATTAATACATTAAAATAAATTCTAATATTACATTATAAGCAAGTGTGTCTGGCTGTTATCATTACATAGGTCAATTACATCAAATTATGTACACTTGTAAGTAGATAGTGTATGTAATGGAAAGCTAAAAGCTCCCTTGAACAATGAATTTATATTTGCCTACTTCATATCTCCGTCCGTACATAAAAAATTACATATTATACTTGTTCCTGTACCTGTTAATGTTTTTAAAGGAAATAATCCTCTTTTGCTCTTGCTTAATTTTAAACTTTCTATGACCTCATTATCTGCAAAAAAGGAAAAGTAAATACCCAAAATAAAGTAGCATGTACACAAAATAAGATATTTGAAATAATATCCAGATATAGTTTATCTTTTTGTGCATTCTATTCAATGTTTATTTTAAGTAACATTTTGACAATATTACAGAATTATATTACCATGTTGGTTTTCCTTATCTATTTTCTCTGGAGCATGTATTTCCACAGAACTCAGGTTTACTGTGAACAATAACAATAATGTTGCTTAAATTTCAAAAAATTCCATTTCTAATTTACAATATAACTCTGCTGTTTAATAGTAAGTAAAATGCAAGCTTTGTATAGAGTAATGATGTAAACAAAACAAGAAATAAAGCTTCATCCTTAATTATGATAATTATGTAACAAATCTTTTACCTAGGACTTTCTCTTCTGTGTTTGAGTCAATGACTCCAGGTACAGTCAGATTAATGTATGGGCAAATACTGTCTATGACGTTTTCTGTAGTGCCCGCTTCACCAACTCCACCTCCAGTCTGTAATAAACTGCCGACTTCCATTGACAGCTCCTTCTTACGACAACTTTTTATGTTTTCCCAGCATCTCTTTAGCTGTAATGCCGTTCTCTTGACCACAAAAGGTACTGCATTGTAGGCATTTTCAATTTCGTCCCATGCCGCCCTCTTGAGCTCAATGTTTCGGGCATTTGTCTGTTTGTTTTCAATAATGGGACGTTCACTTACCAAACTTATGATTAGTTCTTTTTCGGCGGAGGAAAAAGCTATTTTTTTTGAGCTAAAAATTAAAATAATGTATGTTGAATGAATTATTAAAAAACTAACACAAAATAAACATTACTGAGGAAAAATATTTGAGTTACCATTTAGCACTGTTAGCCGGAAATATTATTTCCATTATCACAAAAATTCTACTTGGTATTTAAGCTAAATTTTACTTCAAATAGCGTATCGTATCTAACACAAGCCAGTTTGCAAAAATCAACACATCAATTGAGGTTATGTACTAATTGACATTTGACGCTTGAAAATTGAATAACTTGAAGCTAGCCCCGAAACCGTCCAATCAAAACGCCGAATCCTTCCCTATGCATTCACTGAGTAAAGAAATACTTAAGTGTTGTCTATGAAACAAGTCGATGGACATATCCAACACTGTGAGAAATCGGACACTTCGCAGTGAGAGCCAGTACACTTAAATAAGGGTGGTTCTTGAATACGGGTGACACTATCTATACAGCAATACCCACGTGAGCCCGCGACTCGGCTACGAGGTACCCACACTACACTACACACTATCTATATAGCAATACCGACGTGAGCCCGCGACTCGGCTACGAGGTACCCACACACCACACTACACACTATTTATATAGTAATACCCTTGCCTACCCCCCCCCCTCCCCTACACACACGCACACACACACACACACACACACACACACACACACACACACACACACACACACACACACACATTCAGGAGATGGGCAACATCATCTTCTTAATAACAACTAAAATAAAAAAACTGCGATTGCCAACAGCTTTGCTAAGCGTGGTTATCACAAATAATGGGCTATAGCTATTTGTCGCTATTATGGACCTATGGTCTATTTGTTGGACAAAGACGAGGCATTCTATGGGGGAGTCATATGTATTGCAGTGAACTTGGGTTGGATAGTGGATTAAGGTAACGGTTAAGATATAAAAAAAAGAAATATAGACATATACATGTTTGTTTGATTCATAGTTAACACTATAATTAAAAAATAGATTCATCTCTATTGTGGCAGCGACTTGGGGTATAAAAATATCTGTTTTCAATAAACTTTTCTATGCAGTCGGGTTTTTTAATTACTGTTATATTATATTTATTATTTTATATATTTATTATTTTACCAGGCGATTGGAATAATCGATTCTCGGCTTCCAACCGTGGGAGTCTTCTCAGCGGATGCGGTCACTGAGGCGGGCGCGATCACAAACAGAGAAGAAGACGCGGCAACTAAACAAATTGTTCTAGAAGTGGGCAAAGAAATCCCCTCTGAATCAGCTTCAAGTAAAGATGCGAGCAAGGAGACTGATGGTGAAATTCCCAGCAGTGGGACGTCGCTCCAGCGAAGTGCGACCAGCTCGGAGCCCTCGTCGCGTAGCTATGAGCGGGGAGTCGTGTTCTACTTAAAGGATAAACGGGTGGTGGGGGTGCTGCTGTGGAATCTGTTCAATCGCATGCACATCGCTAGACAGGTGAGAATCGTGTCGGTGAATATCTCTATACATATAAATAAAATTGAAGTGTCTGTCTGTAAAATCGAAATAGGTGCCTTTTTTGAGCCGAAGCTTATGTGCATATCGCTAAGACATGAATAACCAATTTTAAAATTGTTGTCTGTGTCCGGACCTGATCGGTATCTTCGGAATGGCTGGTTGTAATTTTAAACTTGACGATGCCAAGAGTGATATAGGCTATAATCCGGACAACTTACATCTTTAAAAAAAAAGAAACTAAAAATAATAAAATGATGTTTGATTATCTTAAATCTAAATCACATTAATAGATCCAATCCAGGCAAAGTCGGGGCGGGTCGCTAGTATGGTATATAATTCTTCTGTACGTGTGTTTGTCACTGAACACCTCCTGAACAGCTGGATTATGATGAAGTATTTTATTTTATTGAGTGTAAAGAAACGGAGACCCATTTTCCTATTTTTTTGTATAGATGTATATATAGACACGGCATTTATGACAGTGATTTTTTTCTGGGTTGGTAAAGGGATTTTTGTGTTCACAATAGGCAGCTTACTAAATTCAATCTTGTGAATTTACTAGAAAAAATGTTATTCACATCTGAACTGATACTAGCATCGATAAAGCGTAGTATTTGAGAATACTCTTACTTCCTGGCCAATGCAGAGGTACATTTTGCAAATAAAAATGTATTTAAATTTAATTTAATTTTTTGTATGGTCGTTTTCAGAAGTAAAGTTATTTCTGTGCGTTTCAACACTGATTCTGGTGACGAACTTAACGGGAACCACAGGGTTTTTATTACATGTTGTAAATCATAAACCTTTATTTGAAGAATGAAGTATAAGAAGATGTTATAATTTATACAGTGCAGTCGTGTATCGCTAACAATAGTGCATAGCATGCAAATTATAATTTTAAACTGTTGAATGTGGAAAAAAAAATAAAAAAAGTGTTTTAAGTCATAAAATCATTCAGTTTTTAACCAGTTATACAAATGTTTATTATATAATCTTTCGCTTAATAATTTGAATTGTAATTACTTCCACGATCTAACCTTACACATATTTTGTTGGTCACAGGTTCTGAAGCAGGGCGAGTTCGAGGATATGTTCGAGGTGGCGAAGTTATTCTCATTACATGAGGAGGACTGAAGCGCACAAAGCATTTACGTGTATCTGTAAATAGTATTAATAAAACGTATGACGTAGAGCATTTACTTTATTGTCTTGACCATTTACATACCCATATCATCCCGTGGCTGTCGTATGAGGTGATAGGGTGAGCTGACACAAAATTGGTCAGCACCTTATAAAAACCGAAAGTAACAAAAATAACAAAGTAGGTGGGTTGCCAATTTACCTGCCAACGATGGCAAATAGGCCCATGTTCAGCTGTGGACTTAGGATAGGCTGTGATGATGATGATGATGATGATGATCTACATACCTCATGTGTTGGTATGTTGGTCAGACTGTAAATAAACCTTAGAAATGAAGCAGCGACATAACTCATCCGTACATTCAAATGGGTAAAATACCGTACCGAAGACCTGACGTTTAGGTACGTCCTCATCATCATAATCATTTATCATTTGGAATGGCGTGGTAAACTTAAAGAAGATCATGAATAGAATAATACTTTCAAGTACAAGTACATCATCGGTCCTTCGAGTCCGAGGAAGTTGTAACAGTGCTATATTATTAGATGCAAACTAGTCTTCCAGAGCTGCCAGTAAAAGGTGACTTACGACACCTATAGGATGAAATGGGGGAGATGGAGTCTCTCGTACTCATTTAGTTCTAATAGGTTATTTATATTGTTTTCTCATTTGGTTTAAAAAAGGGTTAGGGGGAAAGAGAAAGAAATCAGAGGACGATGCGGATGGTATCGAATTTTAACTTTTCAAAAGTCACTGCTGAACATAGGCGTCTCTCATAGAATGCCTCATATTTGATTTGGCACAGTTGCCACGCTTGGCAGGTGGGTTGGCATAAAATATAAGTAAAGTAAGGATTCACAATAACAACAATATTATTATGTACATTATCACTTTGAAAACAAAAGAATGTGTTGCCTTTACTACGAGATACCACGCTCTCACAGAATACCAGCGTAAAATAACAGCCCAACACTGCTGTGTTTCGTATGGTGAGTGTAGAGAACCGGAGACCCTTTTTACTGGAAAAGAGGCGTTCCATCTTAGTCCTCACGGGTGACAACGCATCTGCATTTTGATTCGCAAACGAGGATAGATGTAGATGTCTATGGGCCACAGCAACCACTTACCATCAGATGGAATGTGTGCTCGTTTGTTACACTATCCTATATAAAAAAAAGATATCAAAAAAACATCGGCTTAGATATTTTTGACCCCAAAATCCAGGACATACAAAAGTGCAGTAAAATAATTTGCGCTTCATTCCCATTTTACTTTAGTATTAAGGATGTAAGTCAAAATATTGTGTAATGAAAAGTTGATCTCTCCTGTAGCTAATGTAATTAGGATAACAATCTTGCACAGAATTGTTAAATGTTTCTTCTATGTAATTTGATTGATATTTGTCTGTTTTGTTGTACAATAAATATGATAAATTAATAAAACTGTCAATAAATAAATATCGTTTTAATGATACCACGGAAAAATAAACTTGCATATTAGGTTTAGAGAATCGTATGTGATTCAGTATTGGCTTAGAACAATGATCCGATGAAGTGCTGATTCTGCAATTACATACTCGTTACGGTTGCGAATCATATTTTGTTAAACATACAACCTAACCCTGCCCTGGAAATTCCAAAAATCGTAAGACAATTTGAATTTCGTAGACCACCCTGGCGCTTTCACCTTAAGTACTTATATTAGCAGCTTCAAAAATACATATAGAAAAAATAGAAAAGAGATTAAGTGATTTTAACTTCAACTGCTCTATTTCTATTTTTTAAACGTTTTCTTGATGTCATCTTTAAGCATGAGTTTAGATTTCGCAAAGAAGTCAATGTGTCCAAACTGTTCATTATACGTACGAGCGAGTAATTTGAATGATGCCAGGGAATCTGTAATAATGTAGTATTTCGGGTTTTTTTTTAAAAAAAACAGTGTGTCGTAAAGACACACGACAGAAGAGAAACTTGTATTACAGGGAAACATTTCAATTATTCATCAATGACTTTTGAATTGCATAGATTGTGTACCTATATCATTTATTTATTTACATAAAATTATATACATATGTGTCACCGTTCATCATCTTCTTCGATCTTAAGAAGAAAAATTACCGGTTTAGTTTGTTAATTACGTAATTATCTATGAAATGAAATGAATTTATGTAATTTTATTTTTATTAAACTAAAGTATTATAATAAGACAATAAAAAATTATTTAAATTAAAAATTACTAATTATTTTAAATAATCGCTACTCTGTCAAATTAGCAAATTACTTCCCTTAATTTTTTAATAACGCCATCTACTACATTCTATAAGTAAAGTCATTTTATCGAACCAAAATTGATTAACTCTAATCTAATGGTGGTACGGAGAAAAGACGCTAGATAGCGTAAACACAAAAATTATTATCATGTTTGTCCAATCCATTCATAACAATCCATTATTTCAAAACATACCGATTATTATTTTTTTGGGTTTATGTCATCTAGCATCTACTTTACGTACCACTTTGAGCGTAAATCAATTTTTGTTCGATAAAATGACTTTACATATAGAATGTAATAGATGGCGCCATTATTTAAATGGGATCACTCTTTCTAAAATAAATACAGCTTAGTATTTGAACGAAAGACCGTTCGATACATAATCTTGTAATTGTATTACTACAAGCTTTATGGTATGTAATGGCCTGCGTTCGCGATTTGAATGATCAACGAGAATGACCCGGTACATAGTGTTTATAGTAGTTGCGGATCAGAATTTAAAAGCCCTCCCGTAGAACGTTTCACTTCAAAATAATTTCTCGAAAACTACATAAGCAGGTGTTTCATGGTAAAAATCCGATAGGGCGCGCATCAGAGCGTAATTGTATAATATAACAAATCGTCAACAAAAAGTGTCGTTTTAATTTTCTTGTTTTTCTGCTGAATTGTAACTTTCTATTTAGGTTTTATTAAAATATTTTTACGGCAGGTTGTTTTTGTATATTTACCATTGCGGCACGAATAATGTAATTTCTATGATGGTTATTTATATGAGCAATCCGCAATGAATTTTGAATACGAAAGCTATTACAACAATTACTGTGTTTTAATTTATCATGTATTTAGGAGTTAAACTCGGAATATTCCATTTATTAAGTTGTTTTATATCAGAAATGAATAGTATTTTTAACATTATCTTTGTAATGAAAATTGTACAGGACGGAATTTTAGAAATAAAGAGACTTCAATGTCCGGCATTTCAGAACAAAAACTGTGTCACCCGCGTGGATCCCGCGCCATTGTGGGCGTCGCGCCGGCTAGGCGGATAGCTGGCACGGTAAATATGCCACGCAGTTGTATTTATTTACGACAGTTAGATACTAAATGAAAAATATTCTCCGACTATTGGGTCGGATCAAACAAAGTACTTTGTGCAACTGGCTAGCTGGTGGCACCGGCACCACAGATCAACTAATAGATTACTGGCACCGAAAATGTGTGCGTGCTACGAGTGGGAGCGTAGTGTGGGTTGGCACCTAGGGCGGTTTTCTATCAAGCATCCCCCAAATAAAACAAAATATACTAAACAAACTTACCAGATTTTATTTAGCTAAATTATGATATTCATCATCGTTATCATTACAGTTCTTCACTAGTCAACTGATGAATAAAGGCCTCCCTCAAAGAATGCCACAAAGCACAGTTCAGAGCCACCCGCATTGATCGTCTTCCTGCATAACTAACCAGGTCGTCAGTTCACCTACAGGGGAACCGCCCCACACTTTTTCACCGGTACGAGACTACCACTCGAGAACCTTGTTTTCCAATCAGTTGTCGATTCTTAGAGTTATATGGCCGGCCCATTACTATTTCAGTTCAGTAATCCGTTGAGCTTTGGTGGTTACTCTGGTTCTACTGCGGATATCTCACTGAGCGGCCTTGAACTTCTTTATACGGCCAGCAGTGAAGGACCACGTCTCATAAAAAATTTGGCATCGCTGAAGTACTGTAGCATCGTCCAAACTTCGACGGAATCAAAGGCTTTCTCATAGTTCACATACCCAAGAAAAAGTGGCAGATTGTCCAGTTTAAAGGTTATGTGGTCTTTGGTGCTAAAGTCTTTTCGGAAACTGGCTTGTTTGGGGGGCTGGAAATCGTCGAATCTGCGTGCGCACCGATTCGTAATGACTCTTTAAAATAGCACGTAGGCGCGGCTTAAAAGGAAAATCGGTTTGTAGTTCTTCAAGAGAAGGATGTTGCCTTTCTTGAAGAACAAGACCACCGCACTTCTGCTTCACGTCTCCGAAGTAGTGCCATCATGGAGGATGGAATTAAGAAGCTTCTGAAGAACTCCAATCACCGGTTTTTTACCCGCTTTCAGAAGCTCGACTGTAATTACATCTTCACCCCGGGACTTGCCGTTTTTAAGGTGCTGGAGAGCCATTCTAATTTTGCTCAGCCTGACATCCGGGATGTCATCGGAATAGTGTCGGGATAAGACCTGAACTTGGATCGTTGTTCACACTTGCGTGTGTATCCAACAATGACGTATACAGCTGCCCATATAACCTCTCAATCTCACTTAAAATCTCAGGTATCGCGGAAACGATGCTTCCATATTCCGTCTTCAGCTTCGAGAGTTGGTCTTTCTGGCAGACAGATCTCTGGTAAAGACTTGGGAGCCTTGGTTCCGCCCATTCGCTTCTTCAATACGAGCTGTATTGAAGTTGCGTAAGTCCCGCCGCATGCATTTGGAAATATGTCTGTGCAGTTGCATGTATGCTGTCAAATCTGCTGAAGGTTACGACTTCATTTCCCGTCTAGCAAAACTCAGCTCCGACCGCATGGACAGTTTCCACGAGTTTGTCATTCATATAGCTACATTGCAGTCTTCTAGACACTGAAAAGGATTTTGTAACTCAAGCTGAAATTTTCACCCTCGCGAGCACAGAGACATCACTGGACAGTTGTTCATTAGATGTGACCTCTCCAGCTTACTGCT